TGAGAAAAACATAGAGTAACAATAACATGCGATCATGATCCTTTAACAGACGAAAAAATAAATAAAAAAAACTATGATTGAAATTCGATGACGATCCCATTATCTATGCATTAAAAAATTTATGGCGGCGCGGCAAATGCCCAACAATAATAGAGGGCTGTCTTGTTCCCCTTAATAATAAAAACAAGGAGTATTAAAAAAATAATAAAAATACATAAATATAAATTTGTAATGGACTGTGTAATTGAAAAACCAATAAGAATAATTATTACTAATTGCGCATAGTAAACAAAAGAAATAATACAATAATAATGCTGAATGTTGGTCCTACAGTGGCTAAACTAACATAAATAATAAATAAAAAATGGTAACTAAATAATATAATTGAATCAAAAGGTGTAGCCCACAGGGCTCACACTAATAATAAATACAATAAATTAAACAATGTGTGGCCCACACGGCGCACACCAATAATAAATACAATAATATGCCGTTAACGGCTAGGTCCGTTGGCCTTTAAAGTAATAAACGAATATGGTCAACCAATACTCACAACATGTAACTGCGTTTAATGGCGGATTGTATCCCACGCGACCACAAGGAGAAATGTGCTTCTGCAATAAACTAAATAAATACAAACAAAATTATGAAGCACAGTTCTCGCTGCGTGCGACCACTCAAGCACAGTCACAGACGGAAGACGAATTCACACGTGTCTGCAGCCAAAACACAACACAATTCAAAACCACGTTACTCACAATGACCGCTCATAGATATGTCTAAAACATCAAAAACTATTAAACTACTGCAACAAAATAGTTGCTAGAACGTTAAATACCAGACGACCGAAAACAGGAACAACAACAACACAAGACAACGTGGTTTTTACAAGAAATTGACTGCAGACGAAGACAACCGGAACTTGATGTGCACACCACGACGAACACGGGAAAAAGAGCGACGGCGCCGACGACATTTACCACGAAGACTCTGGCCGCCGGACACCACAAAATAAAGATAAATGTTTCAGTGCCACCACACTAAACCAAAAACCACGAGAACTTATGAAAATTTGTAGCACTGAGAACATGACTTTACATAAAACGAAAAATAATTTAATAACTACCAAATATTATATAAAAGATTTACTACATGCAAAAAATGTTATGCATACTGGCCGATTGGAATCTAATTATAATATAAGGCTAAAATATAAGACAAAACGAATATATCTGAAATTTAGAGGTATGTATATAAGATCTATCTGTGCAATATTGGACCATAATCATAGTATAAATCAGGGCTTCAAACCATAATGATATTTTGTGGTTTATGGTTTTAGTTCATCTACTATTTTATTCGGTTTTAAAAACTGATTAATATTAATCTTATATTTTATAATTTTTTTAAAACCGGTTAATTTTGTTCTTTTAAAAAAATATATTTTTTTATAACAATTTTATACCTCAAAGAATTTATTGTCATAATTATGAAAAAATGAATTAGAAAATTCAACTATCGTGAGATATTCTTAAAAAAAGTTCATAATTTTACATTTATAATAAATTAATACACAATAAATAATATGATACACATTTCTAAGTTTTTATTACAATATTGAATTTACTAACACACATAATGAACAATATAACTGCAATATTTATTATCGAGTAAGACAAAGAAGAAAAACCATATTAATTCAAAATGTTGAACAAATTTACAAATATTTGATACAATTTAAGAAAACACAATCCTCCATTAAAAGCGGTATTGTAACAATAAATAATGTGGTTAATGGTTGTCATTAATCGTGTTCACGTATTATCTACAGTAGTATGGGATTACGACCAGTAGTCCCACTTACCAATTGTTCAATTTTTATCTTGCGAATTATTTTATATTTACCTAATAATTTTTACCTGTCTTTTGTCAAACAAAACAGGCTGACCAACTAAACAAAATTTGTAAAAACTAAATTTCAATATTAATTATTTTTCGTAATTAAAAATGTATTTATTTCCGTTCGAGAACGAAAAATATTTTTCTGGTTAATTATTTCGTTTTCATTCTATAAAATTAATAATTGTGATTCCATTTTTGTTTTCGTTCATACACATTTTCCTATAAAACCGGTTAATAAAAAAAACGGTTTTAACCGCTTTAAAGCCTTGGTATAAATATACAATTAATAGGTGATAAAATGATATATTCAAAACCGTTAGGAAAATGTACAATAAAAAATGTTTATGGACGTACTGTACTAATTGGTTAAATTATACGCGAAGTACTCAATTCAGCTAAAAAAAAAAAAAAAAAGAACATAATATTATAACAATTTCAGAAGAAATTGAAATTCTCAAGTCTAATGTTCCAATACCACAACCAAATTTTGAAGAAATACTTTCTAAAAGACATAGGCAATATAGGCACAGTGCCTAGGGTTAAACCGAGCCTGCATTTAAAGCTAATCAAATTAAACATTCAGTACCCTATCAATTTATATAATTATTACTTATTTATATTTAATCAAAAATCAACCTTAAAAACATTTAAAATTGATATGTGGTACGACGTTTTCAACATATTTCTACAACCGAGGTATTGCAGTTTAGTCTTTACATATTGTAGGTACTACATTTTCATATTCATTGTGGTCATCTTCTCTGTTATCCGACGAAGAGGAAAATATAATATCACAGGATTGTTTTATAACCATAATAACTAACTCACGGTCATTAGAATTATTCATAATAAACTCAAAATGACGAAACGTTGAAAAATTAATAAAATTGAAAAATGATTCACAAAATGGAACCAAATTTGTGAATCTTGTTATCAATTACATTTTTGATACCTAATACATAAACACATTCTAAAGGTACGTTTTCCCTGCAGCGTCCAGGTGCAGCGTCAGACGCATTGTCACTTGGTACATGCATTTTATATGTGACGGTTTTTCTATTTGCGTTTAACGCAGCACGTCGGTAAACGACGCAGTGCATCTCTTTGTCCGGACTAATGCTGCGTTCAGACATCTTGCGTCCGCATACCATAAAAGTACTTTTTTTTTAATAAAATATTCTTTTACATATAAATTATTCAGAATATTTGTTACAAATATAAAACTGATTATTTCCATTGATATAATTAAAATATAATTTATGTTCGTCAATATTATTTTAGGATATTTAAAAAATATTATATTGGTCATGAATAACAGAAAAACCAAAAACGTACGGCCACTATTACTTATTTATACTAAGTTTAATTTAATTTTTATAATTTTATTATTTATTATTGGGTAAGTATCCACCAAGACACAGCTAAATATAATTTTAATACAAATAACACGTACAGATACAGATTATAGATATAAAAACACTATATAAATTTTAATAAAACGTAGGAATGCATTAAACTGTATAAATATTATTAATCAGAAAACACATGGTATATTAATCATTAGTGTATGATATATAATATAATATTATTTTAATTGGTATTTTTCATGTTAGAATGGCGAAGAAATGCGCTTGTATTTTGTTCATAATGTCTGCACATAATACGCAAAAAAAATATAATGCTTACAGAAAGTATAAGCATAATATACTATTTGTACAAAAAATACAAAAAAATAAAATAAAATAAAAAAATTCTGTTTCGAAAAATCGTAAAATGTTTGGTGATTACTCGTATTTTCATTTGTATAGTGAATTACGTGACAATGATATAATAATAATATATTTTACAATAATATTCTATATTTTATTAATAAATAATACAATATTAAATGTTATTATCATAGGCGTGTCTATGAGGGTGGCAGGGTGGGCATAGGCCTCCCCAGTGACATTCTTGGCCTCTTGGCTTATGATGGTGAAATCACGGATATATACATAGATTATATTATATATATAGTATCTATATCCATGGCTGAAACAGTAACGGTAGGTAATTTTAGGTAGAAGGTAAATTTAAATTTTAAATATAATGAATTTTATTATTTGTAATATTTTAATAAATTACTTCTTTAACCAAACTGATAAATAACTGTTTATTGTGTAATAACTGTAATAAGACGTATAGAGAAGGTTGATGTATAGTTGATAAAATATTTATAAAAAATAACTAAGTAGCACATTAGTTAATAGGCCTTATTTATTAATTCATAGTTGTAATAGCATAGGAAATCAATTTTAAGATCAAGAAAATCTTTAATTTGGTGGGGTCCAAAAATTCCAGGTGCTATATAATTTCCATGCAACAAAAATAAGTTAAAAATATAGAAATAGATTATAGATCGCTGTAGTAATTAAAAAATTTTAATTTTATAATTGGCCTCCCCAACCATGGAGGTCTGGACACTCCTATGATTATTATCTCTCAGCTTTTATTAACCGGGACAAAGCGAATGATCAGCCGGGGCACCGGGACCAATTGTAAGCCTAACTATAACTCATAAAGTAGGTATGCATTGATCTCCGTTCACTGCTTTACTTGCTTAACTAAAAAAAAACAACTCAATGTTAGCTGACCATTCCTCTGTTTATTTAATTAAATTAAATTTAAACAACAAAGTGCATTGCCTAGAAGTCATATTGTTCTCCTATAGTAATTAGTAGTTCCTTACTGTACAAATATGATTTTTAACATTAGTTTAGTAGAATTAGAGCTATACCAAAGACATTAGTTTCAATTAAATATTATTGAAATGTAATTGTTAGTCAAATGTTTTGAATAGTAGTATAGCTATAAACAATTCCACTAGTTAGTTTATATTATAACGTAAATAAATATACTTAAGTAATATACTTAAACCTCAGGTAAATGCCATCTTATCATACGTAGTACAAACAGTATTTTTGTATTTTTATAATATAAAACAATAAACCTGTTAGACGATATCAACATCATTCATCTCATCATAGTAAATTATAATATTATAATACATAGGTTTAATACAAGGTAATTTAAGAATTCATATCTCATTCAATAAAAGAGAAACAACACACTTTTTTGTTTGCAATATATTTACAAATTTTAACAGATATTTGACATTTATTTGAAAGTCTATTTAAAGTTTGACTTTAGTTTACATTTGTGTGGTCCAGATTGTATTGTTTTGATATTGTTCTTGGAAATGTGTTGCTCCACTAAAAAATATAATTAATTAATATATTTAAATTACACTATCATACTTCAAATCATTGAATTATCTGACAATATAATAAAGTTAAAAAAAAAAAAAAGAATTAACTCACAAATGTTTCATCAATAGTTCGTCTAACTCGTCTTTGTTTGCACACAGGAATACATTGCAATTTTTCAGTCCCTTGAATACATTGATGACGCTAGATTTTAGATTGTAAAGGTACAGGAATTGGCCCTTTTTTGATAAATCTCGTGATATCATTGAAAATACCTGAAAACACAGACATCATACATTACCGTCCAAATACTTTTACATGTAGTTATGGAAGAGTATATATATATATAATATGGTATATTAGTATGCATTAAACAGTTGACCGCTTTACACGTATGTTCCCGGCCATTGCTTATCGTATTTTTATAGCTTCCAATAAGAGTATATTGCAAACAATAACAATTGAAAACCACAGCACATCGAGTTTGGTAATGTTTATGTTAGTATATAATTCACCCTTATTTTAATCACCAGTGGGCCCATATATAGGTATAATAGGTAATAAGTCTAATGCGGTACAAAAAAATAAAACCGTTTTGAAAACAGTCAACAACAATCACTAGCTTCAAACCAAATAGGAATATACAACTATACAATTTAACAATGGTATCTCAACAACCAAATCCAATTTAAGTAACTTAAAAAGCTTGCTTAATTTATCTGTATCCAATGATACAACACTATCTCACGGTAATCAGGAGAGCAACACTCATAAAAAACGTTCGCGGAAATTACAGAAAATTACATATTTTTCGAAAACGACCAAGTAATCTATTCAACATAGTTGACGAGATTTCCCAAATTAAGTAAATAAAAGTATTAAGCTCACTAACCATCTCTTCGAATTTAAGTTTGCTTCGAGAATATCAAATAACTGATTTTGTGTGTACTTCGCTAACAAAAACCTCGTCGAATACATTATTAATTACAACTCAACAATTAACGCAAACAACCATATCTTATTCACCCTCACATGAAAAATAATTAAATAAAGCAGCCCTAAAACAGAAATACGAAACCAGTGATGTGGAACTCGATGTAAATAAAGATCAAATCATTGATTTGTGACCTGTCTCTTCCTTTAAAATTTTGAATCCATTAATTCTTACCACTTCGCAAAAACCGTCTTATGTATAAAACATCATGTTTAAAATATCCTATTTTCTTATCCTCTCACATTCTTCTTTCTCAAAAAATCAAAATCGACTGTCTAAAAAAATAAAAATACACATTATGTCCGAATCTTAGGTCCGAACCCAACTTTTTGTAAATTATATTCAAAAACATCATCAACCTTCCAATCAACATCCTTTAATTCAAATATATAGTACCTATATTTGAATATTTCACCAATAAGTCGTTAAATATTCATGCATTGGTCGAAGAAGCTAACATAAATATGAATAAATTAATCAATATAATTGAGGAAATTCGATCTAACATCAAGGATCGTTCATCAAAGACCGGCCTCATCAAACTAACGAATTAATTATTCCAGGCTTTCCTAATACAGTAATAATTTACAGAAAAGAAAAATAATAATAAACTCAACACAATTTTCACAATAAAAACAAACCGAAAAAAAATAAATATAATTCAATATAATCGTAACAAGTTCTTCAAAAAAATCAATAACTTAAACTTATTATTCTCTGTTTACAAAAGACTTATTTAATATAAAAACATACATATTAAGTCAAAGATTTTAAGTCTTACAATAATAATCAAATTGATTTTCTTGGGGTTCTGGCGGAGTTGTTGTATTCTTTCAACTATTTATTCAAAGAAATTCCTCATAAAACCAATTTGGAAGCAGTTAACAGAACATTTTTAATCCATAGCACATATAAAACACATATAAAACAATTCATAAAAAAAACTTTCATGGAAATCGTTTGTTTCCAAAATTAATACTCAGATAGATACAAAAAAAAAAAAAGGAACAAAATTCATAATAATTTATATATCCGGATATCAACCCATATTCTTAATAAATGCAATATATAAATTTATGAAAAAAGTAATCGACTTAAAACTTATGGGGTTTATTAGAAGAATTAACTAAGCTTAGAAAAAAAGGTTTTAGATATCAACGTGAAAATAACAATCTCAATAATTAAAATCCAATTCGAGATTAAAACGCAACCAAAATAAATAAACCTTCCTAATATTGTGACTCAACATATATAAGGCTTACGAACACCATTTAGAGACTTCATATTTTATCGAGACTGAAAAATCTTATGTAAAAGAAACATGTTTAAGTTTATCAATAACGTTTTCTCTAACAGAACCTTTCAAATTAAAGTTAACAGTTAACAATATACTCTCTATGACACTAATTTTGCCCCGTGTGTGAATATAATTATTGGGTCCCGCGAGTCCAGTTGTTTCGGGGAAACTATACTTTGAATCAATTGTAACAAAATTATTTTTGATTTCGGTTATAAGACAGCAAAATAACATTGATATACAATAAGATGTACAAAACAAAATCGATCATCAATTATTGTTCAATCTCCTTAAATAATTTTTATTAGAAAATTATTATGTTTTTCTTCTTTCTACACATATTTCAATTTTTATTATCGGGCTCCGTTATAAGCTGGGGCCTTGAGCCCGTGTGTTGGCTCGATCGTCATTTTATATGCACAAAACCGGAACGTTCCCTCGCTGGACAGACTAATCCTCATATTTACATTCAATATTTCAAAAACAACCATGTAACATACTAGTACATAAAAAAAAATGTACTTTCCCATTGTCGAGGTATATTTATATATATAGGTGTGTATAATGGTGGGCAGTGATACGTACTTCGGCCGTTGTAAAATCAGCTTCGAATATCTTAGAACCATCAATGACGACTGGAATTCCGAGAGCTAGACCGTGTTTGGTAATAGTCTCCCTCACGTATTCCATTGAGGGGAATATCAAATACCTGTCCGGTGTCAGCAATAAGTATTTGATCCCATATCGATTCTAAAAATAATTATTAAATTATGTTCAACCATAAAATAAAAGATCACTTGTAAGACAAGATGTGGACGTCATTAACAATATCTATAAATGACGGGATATTGGATCACACCTGCTGTACTTGAATGGATATTTTCGGTTTCGCCGCACTGCATAGTATGAACACGACATTTGCAACGATACCGACGAGTACACCGTATTCCAAGGGCAGAAAAAGACACGCAAAGAACGTGATCAACATGAGGACCAAATCTCTTTCTGTCCACAGGAAAATGTCATGTCAATGGATAATTGCAGCTTAATACGTTTTATTTTTAGTTTTATTTTGTTGTTACGTTTTTAAAGTCACGCATATGCACATACACACACGCGCGCGCGTGCACACATACACACAGTTTCGTATCAAGGGGGGGGGGGCGAGCCTTATGGGACTCCATTGGCGCACATACCTACACATCTTATTACAGTTATTACACAATAAACAGTTATTTATCAGTTTGGTTAAACAAGTAATTTATCAAAATATTACAAATAATAAAATTTAGTTTAAAATTTAAATTTACCTTCTACCTAAAATTAACTACTGTTTCAGCCACGGATATAGATACTATATATATATATCTGTGGTTTCACCATTATAAACCAAAGGTCAAGAACGTCTCTGTGGAGGCTGATGCCCACCCTGCATCCCCCGTAGACAAGCCTAAATTAAAAATACTTAATGGTTCAATTTAGAGTTCCATCCCGGGCGTAATATTTAGTTGCTTTAGTACTTCACACATACATACACACATTGATGCATGCACGCACACATAAACACATGTTTAAACTGTGCCCGTACTCGAGTGCAACGTGAGCCGTTACGTGAATAATCAAAGATTAGAAACGCGCGTAGAACAGATGTTAGGTGGTATATATACTTTTCGATTTATAAATGTGTTTGACCACTTTGACGTTGAATATCGTAAACGAGGCGGCGATAATGACAGCAGCCAGCGAAGTCTTCGGGATGTAATAGAAATACGGCGTCAAAAACAGCAACGCCGCCATAACAGTGAGTCCTAAACTTAAAACTGAATTCAAAATCCCCATCGTGTATACGAGACCCTGCCGTGAAGCGTTTATATTTACCCGTATACAGTCCTCCGAGGGGCGTCCGCACGCCACTCGAATAGTTCAGAGCACCTCGCGCAATCGCTCCGGCCCCGGGGAAGCCGAGGAAGAACGAGTTACCCCAGTTCGCCAGCCCGATTGCCAACAACTCTTGGTCGGTGTCCACCGGACGACCGTCAGCTACAAAACAATTGTACGTTATTCGTATCGTAACGTAATTGCACCGAAAACAGATAAATATGTACAGGGTTATCCTGAAAAATGAGAAAATTTAAATCTCACAGAATTTAAAATAAATATGTATTTAGAGTTATAGAAAACGTGTTCCTGAAACAAAAAACGTGCCTTTTTCCACCCTAATAAGTTCCCAACAATTTTGTTTGGGACTCTTATTGGGTTATATTTTAAATAATAAAATTATGCATAATTAAATACATACATAAGTATAAATTACATTTTCTATTTCTGTGAGTGTTAATTAAAATTTTCCCATTTTCTTGGAACACTATATAATTATATGTATATTATACATTTCCTGAATAAGTCTTATCAACATTTCATGGTATGTCGATCATGTATTATTACACTATAACATGATTTATTGCTGTCATTATATCCTTGAACCAACCTAGATTTGTATGTTAAATATATCAATTATTAAATACTATACATCGCCTTGATGAATTCAGGATTATGAAATATATATATAAATACTCGAGGGGCCAAAAGTCTTCTACGGCAGCTAATCGTTTTTCGAAATTATTTAAAAAACTTGTGCCATTAACCCAGTACACCTATATACATAACATCAACCAAATATTATGAGAACGAAAACCACAACAATTCATATAACGTATATTATTTGTTGTATTTATTGAATCAAAATTCTATGTTCTTTGATGTGCTTGATTATGGTTAGTTTTAAAATAATAAGATTTTAAGTGTAATCGTTTTTATCTTTTCATAATTTACTTTAATTTTGATAATGAATGTTTGACTTAAACATGCTGGACTACATGGAATTGTTAATCTTATCGAAATCGAATTAATCAAACGTTAACTTTTAATAAACTGTAATAAAGAAAAATAAACTATTTGTCATGTTGATAATTTTTAATTTTTTTAATTTCCAATATCAGAATCTACTGCGATTATGATATTAATAACTAGGGCTTGGATTTGTATGCAATAAAAAATTGTAAAATATGCATTTTATATACCAAAATATGGAAAAATATGCATTTAAATTTTTATAAGATAAATACAAAAATATAGTTAAAAAAAAATATTTGTTTATTGAAATACATCAGTGGTTGAATTTTTTTCTTAACCCTACAATGTATGATTTTTTTTTATTTTTAAATTTTTTTTTGGGTTGTTATATTAGTCCTAATGAAGGGGAAATTACTTAAAAAAAATGTTTGGTATTTAAGTCTCTATAAAACCAATTTTTTAGTTTGTTGCCTATGAGCAACGCTATGTATTTACGTACAACATAATTATTTATGCAATTTATAAATGTAATTTATTCATATACCTATCTTGAAAAGTTATATCGTTTATCCATTAAATATATATATAAGAAAATAATTGATTAACTTACCAATTACAAAACAAAGTATACATTTGTAAAAATGTAACTTAATATAATATAATTGAAAAATAAAATAAAAATAATTTAAAATAAATTTTATGTTTAACAAAAAGAACCAAGTTTTATATTTTAATCAACCGGTCTAGATTTAAATACGAAATATTAATATTAAATTATAAATATCAATTACAAAATATACTAAAAAATATCAATTTTTTGCTTTCTTATAATCGAAATATGCAATAATATTCATTTTATTCAATATATGCAATAATATGCATTTTATCTAAAATATGCAAAAACACGCAAAATAAAAATACCACCATGTATCTCATCATGAATTGATTCGTGGACATTACTGACAAAATCAATAATCAGACGCAAAAAAAACATACTGTTGCATACAAATCCTAGCCCTGTTAATAACATTTTAAAATATCTTATGAATCACTTTTCATTTTCTTTTTAATTATAGATTAATTTACTAATAAATCTTAAAAATGTAATGAGCCCTAGTAAATCCATGCTATTGATTACTTAAGATATCGAATAAAAAAGCATTGTAAAGGTCCGCTCAAACCGAAGCGGTAGTGGCAGCGAAATTTAATATCCATACGTTTTAATACGAACTTTTAAAGCACTCACTATCGCGAAATTAATACCGCAGCGAAAATGTTACCGCAAGATTGAGAGCAATATTTATTTTTTTTCGCTGCAGACACTATATTTTTCGCTTGCCGCTGCGATAATCAGTTGCAAACTCCCGACTATGAGTTATCCAAATTTTATTATTAATATCTATAGAAAGCTTATCATTACATTGTATGATATATTTTGACTTTATATTCAAACACATATATATATTAATCGTAATCGTACACCATGCAGTTGAATTTAACGTCGTGGCGTTTGAATATATGATTCTCCCGTTTAAAATTTATTATTTATAATAAAAACGACCAATAAAGTTGAACAGTTAATAGCTACTGTTAAAGAATATCCCATCGTATACAATATGACGCTTCCAGAATTCAAGGACACGAGAAAAAAAGATTATATTTTTAATTTGTTGTTTTTTACTTTAAAATATTAATATTGATAAATAAAAATATAATAATAACTAAAATACACGTACGCGCACGGGTGTCACAATGTCGATTAGTAATTTTCGGCGAAATATTTCGCTCTCCGGTTAGGTTAGATCAGCGGTATTTAAAAAGCGATAAATACCGCTGCCGTTACCGCCACCGCTACCGCTTTGGTTTGAGCGGACCTTTACAGAAAAAAATATAATAGAAAAATTGAAAACTAAAATAAGCTATCTATAATACGGCCACTGAGAGAGTGCTATTAGGCGACGACCAAAACTCGTCCGTTATCGCGCATTCCCACTACTAAATCTGCTAAAACGCTGGCCGCCGTTAACGTGCGCCACCGCCACCATCACCGCCACGCTGCCAGCACAGTATAAGCCACCGGTCGTTGCGTATTAAGAAAGGGAATTTACGGCGGCGAAATCACAGAGCTCAATCATTTGTATGCGCGAATGAGTAGAGCTCTCTCAGTGGCCGTATTGTAGAAAAACACATTGTTCTGGTGTTCTAAAACTTTGGCATCTAATTAAATTACATCATAGACGGCGGAACTTACCAAATGTTTTGCATAGTGATATTGTCTCGAGCAGCGATATGAGTGGTATGACAATGACGCCAGATCCCATGGAGAAAACCATATCGAAAAAACTTGTACCGTTATCACTGAAGTTTGGCCACTCAAAATGTGGCAATCCGCGAGGTATTTTACCTTGAAAGAAACGCGAATTATTTAGTAAAATAATTTGAGGAATCGACATCATATTAAACTATATTTTAGATATCAATATTGTATTTTTATGCTGTTCACTCGCTTATCTTGTAATTTTATGTGACTAATATGATGGAGTTGGTGGCAGTTGTCCGAAAAATGATAAGGACCGGAAAGGCGGCGGCATAAAATGTGTTACCAACATAAAATTTCTAAAAATTATATTATAAAATTATTTTTTTGGTTAAGAAGTTATATTGTTTCACTTGAATGATAATTATTATATTTTTTGATAGTAATTATATTTAATTTAAACTATACCACAGTTCACATTTTATGACTAATCAATCCCTGTGTATTTACCATAGACATATAAAGACACATATACATAATATTATAAAATATTTTATATCTGTGTATAAAGATATCTTTATACGTCTATGGTATTTACTATTTATTGTAGGTATCAGGGTGTCAAAATGGATTACAATCTGATTTTGAAACCCGGTGAAGATTTGAAACCAGATACGAACGGAAAACCGAGGTTTACAGAAAGTAGTTGATAAATTAATTTTTTTTATAATATTTTACTAATGATATAAAATAAAATAATACATTAATTATCTTTTTACATGATTATTACTAAATTTTAGTTGATATTTACTACTAATCATGAAAAAATAATCACTTTTCATTGACCAATATATCATAATATAACTTTTATCAATATAAATTATATAATTGGATTTAGATTTGGTAATTTTTGATTTAGTCAGTTGGTACTATTTTTCAAATCTCGGACCTTATCATTTCTTAGGTCCTTATCATTTTTCGGACGAATGCCAATCACTCAATATGATGATAAACAAAAAAAAATATAGATAAAGAGTTTTGGGTGTTTACGTTTGTCATGATTTTTATTTATAACGTATGAGATATTCTAATGAAGGTCTAGTATACTTTTAGTATTTATTGTTTTTGTTTACCGTTTACCAGTTTCATCGTTCATTGGTAAAAATAATGATGTTTATTAATACTATTTAGTTATAATATAAAAATTGTTAAATTTATAATTAAATGGTAAAACTAAAACAATTTGTAAGAGGTAGATGGTTGATTTGCTACCCATGGTTCACTTTGGAGTGAATAGTTATAACACTCCTTCAAGTTTCAGACTGAATGTGTTCCTATGCAATTATGATAATATGTCATGTATAACAGGGGTGGCCAACAGTCGGTCGTGACTCCCTTTTATTTTTTCAGAAAAAATTTAAATATTAATTTTTTTGTAAATTGTTCAACCCATGAATATAAAAATTAGATTATTAATCATTAATTAAGGCAATATATAGTTATAAATAACTATGAAAAACGAAATTATACACTCAAAACAAATAATTATTTAAGTATATTGTACATAATCTAATGAATATTCCGTATTAAATAAAAGTATTTATCGCTTACGTAAAAATTGATGAAAAATATACTGAAATACATGTTATGAAAAATTGTAAAACTAAAGTTATTATTACTTAATAATATTTTAAATAGAAAAAATAAAGGAAGTTTATATGTTTATAAAATATATTTTTACTCAGCGACAATCTTTTTTTTTTTGGTCGATTGTGGAAGCCGATCATAATATAAAATTTGGCCATCCCCGATATATGGCATATAAAAATATATATTGTATAAAAGTATAGTTAGTTAATTTACATACCGATGACTTTGAAAGGGATTGATGGTGATATATCTGAAGTAATATCGTGGTGTATATCATGTATACACCAATAACAGATAATACTACACACGATTACTACAAACGAGTTTCGAAATGCACCAATGGCCCAAATAAACCGGTTGACATTTTTTTGCCATGTAGTTTGTAATTCTTCTTCTTTTGGGCCTATACGCATTATACTAAATGCCTTTTGAAAACAAACCAATTATTATTATTATAAATTCTATATCAAACAGGATTTAAATAATTATAGTAATATTTTCAGAATATTTTTTTATCGAACAATGCTCTAAAATATTTTAAAAATTATAAATAACTCTACAATAGTGTATCGACACATTTATATTTTTTCTTCAAAAATTTACATAAACTCATAAACTCTAAAATTGTGAAAATATTTTGATATAAGTATAAATATTAAATATCCATGGATTAATAGAATTGTTCTTATATTAAGTCTGATAATTTTGAATCAAATACTTGGATAATAAAACCAACTAGATTATTGTGTATCAAATTATTTAACAATCAAATGATTAAATAAATATTAAAAATATTTTTTTAACTATAAATTGGTTGTATTAATAGTTTTTAAAAACTAATATTTTAAATTTATCAAACTAATTTATAATTTTAAAATGTATACAAATGATTGAAAACCTTTTTTTTAATACTAACTTCATTTTAACAATTTATTCAAACAATTAAGTAGCAAGAAACATAAGAGGTACAATAAAAAATGAAATTACAGAGAGAAAGAGGAGAAATATAAAATTAAATTAAGAACCCTGTATGGTTTGAAAAAATATCATATATTAAGTATAATATTTGTTTGTTAATTTGAAAAGATATTTGGTTTATTTGGAAATTTAAATAAGCTTGATCGCGTTACGACGAAAACCTATTCGTGTGTAACATTTCTCTTATCTAATTATTATTGAATATTAATCGTAAAAATTTAATAATCATAATATTATAATATCATATGTTATACGTGCAGGATTTGGATAATTTTACCTTCAAAAACATAACCGTCGCTATGCACACAAGCCCCATGGCCGTGTCCCATACGCCTATGCCACTGATGTGTTCCAATGTGACCCTGATCATTTTCAACAGACTCCCGCCACCTACCTTGACGCCAATTAGATCCTTCAGCTGTGACATGATGACGAGAATGGCCGAGGCCGACGTGAACCCTGAGCACACGGGTACCGATATGAAGTTAACGATGATTCCCAGGCCTGTGAAGCTCATCAGCACCTGGATTGCGCCGGTCGTAAAGCATAACATGGTTGCATACATTGGTCCACGGTTACCGATCGTGTTGTTTGTCAACAATGCTACGATGGCGGTCGGCCCCATGGGCACCACTTTACTGGTACCAAACAGCAAGTAAATGAATGTGCCCACGAAGGAACTGTAAAGACCGTACTGGAAAAACAAAAAGGAGAAAGGACTGTTGTCAATCGACTGTTGTCCAAAACTATAAGACGCATCTACTATATCGTTTAGGGAACAAATGAGAATGAGAAAAGAAACGGTCGATTGGGACAAAATAATTTGTGATTATAGACCTTGCGTTTTACTTATTTCCTACAAAAACCTATGCATTGTAAATGTTCGAAAAATGTTGCTTTTACCTTTGCTCCAAGATACACGGCAGATAGTTTATTTAAATTGCCCATCAAAAAAAACAATGAAGTATTAATAAACCGTCTGAAAATGGTTCACGATAATTCTATGGGATTTTTCCCTCTTCCCTCTTTTAAGTTTAATTGTTAAAAAAAAAAGGTTAAATTTAATTGATCAACTCGATAAAAATAACCTTTCAACAAGTTCTGTTTAAAAACGACATTGATATTGTCTTTTTTTATATACTTGAGCTGGTACTCCGGCTATGCTAGCCAACGCCAACGATTGAGGTATTACTGTCAAGCCGATAGTAATGCCGGCCAAGATATCGCCAACAAAGTCTTGAATTGAGTATGTAAAAATCCATTGTAGTATAAAAAATTTTTTTTTGGTATATATAGTTAGGTTTTTTAGGCATGCGTCTTTGGTATTCCGGGTTAATAGTGTTTCCAAGTTAAGACTATGTTTTGCCGATTGTACGTCATCGAATGTCACTGCAAAAAAAAAAAAAATTCAATCCGATTAAAAACAGTAGGAAGGCCTAACAACCTACAACCAGTGCTGTGCATTATCTATAAAATATTATTAATCTTCTTATTTATTTATTGGAATAAAATAATTATCTGAGATAAAATATCCCGATAAGTAGTTGTTAATTTTTTTTTTTTTGATTGTGGTCAGAGATTAATTTTAATGCTTGGTATTGTTTATATTTTATTCAATTTTATTAATTTATTAATTTTATTTTATTATATTTTTTCTCAATTTATATTTGTGAATATCAACATGCTTTATTAACCTATGAATTTTTTAAATAATTTAATTGTATTAAGTAAGGTAAATAAGTAAATAAATAATCAGGGTTATATTCTTCCCATTTTTAATAATCCATTGAAGTGAAATAGTTTTGATTTTGTTCTAATAATTATAATGCCTTTTAAAATACAAATGAAAAAAAAGTTATATTATATTACACCTTATATAATTCAAATTAAATAAAATGAAATAATATATATTTAGTTAAAAACATTATTGTCATACTTACAAACAATATCATGATTTACTGTATCATAATTGAACGGTAAGTTGCCATTGTTAACAGCTGGATTTTGTTGTTTGCCATTTTCGTGTTCATAATTTGGATTTTCCATTTATATACAAACTAAAAACAAACGACCAGATCAAACAACGTAGGATTGACAAAAGTACTAATTAAATGAATAAGCATACCTTCAAATTAAATCATAAAATAATAAATATGCGATTAATACTTAAATAAGTAAAAATTATATTTACCGACTGATCTACGTAATAAAAATTGCTATTCTTTTGATTAGATATTATTTTAACAATATAATTATAATGAGACAGTGATTAGTGGCCTGAAACAATAATTAAATTCGCACAAACAAGAACAAGTTTGAATACAAAAATAAATAATAATAAAAAAACTTTTGTTTTAGTAGTTCATTTTTAAGCGAAAATAAAAACCGTAAAAACAAAAGTGTAACTAATGTATCTTAAAAATATTTAAATTTTCTTGATTGTTTCTTCTCTAATGCACTATACAATGACTGAAGTGCAGGAGTATTTGGCACTGTAATTTTGTTAATGAAATAATCTAAATAGACTCATTGTTTATCTTGGCACGCTTTATTTGTTTACAAATATAAACAAGATGGTACCGCTACTATATATTATAAACCATTCAATAATGTTTATATATGTATATTTAGTACACTACATGAAAATATAATTTTGAAAACGTGTATATATGTATTATATATAATTGTTTCATTATTATATTTAAATTAAATATACGCAGTATTGTGATAATTAATTTGCCGTTCGGGGACGTTTTTTTTTAATATCATTCATATCCCATGACAAAAGTGGTGCCAGATTTTTATATCAGATAGTACTGAAATGTTCCAAGTTTTCAAAGTTTTTTTTTCATTTATTTAGAATAAATATAACACTGACGTTTTAATATTAATAATATATTTTTTTCGTTGCAAATTATTATATATAATATTTTTTCAGTTATTCTGTTTTAGTTTGATACAGTAAAGCAAAAGAAAGAACTTTTGAAAAATATACTTCTAAATATTGATACTTTTAACTATTTTAAGCGAAGGGCAACTTCTAACTGCCGCTTTACTCCGATTTAACACGGCCCCGTACATATTTTATATATGTACATCACCAATGAAATCAAATCACTGGAGATCTTATGAAAAATAATACAACATAATTAATAATGATTTCTAGAAATTAAAATAAATACGTTTTATTTAATTATCGAAAATATTTTAATTAATTTTTGTGTTATAAAAATGAATAATAATCTGTTTGAAGAATGAAGAACACTTTAGTATGACATAATAATGTGTACTTATGTATTTTACAATGGTAGGTATTTACTATAGGTAGTATATAGGTATAGGTAGTATTTACTGTTTTTGAAAGTCAGCTATTCCCAAAGTGAGTTCTGTGGAACTTAAGGGTTCTGTGGGACAATTTCAAGGGTTCTGCAACATGTATGTAATTATTGAGAATAGTAATTGTAATGAACAATAATCATGAACCATAATTAAAACATATTTTGGAGTGTTAGTTTTTCAATAAATAATTGAAACATTGGGGTTGAGTTGGAGTTAGAGATAAAGTTAGGTTCCACGTAACATGAACTATTTTCATAGGGTTCCGTGATCGTAAAAGTTTGGGAACCGCTGCTATAGGTAATTATTGGGTAAACGCGTATAAAACCATAAATTTGAAACTAATTAGAAATGTAGGTATCTAATTATAATTAAATACCTACGTTAAAGTATTTTTGAGTGATTACTGATGCAATTATAGATCGATTAAAATTTTTTTATCGGTAAACTGCTTATATTCGTAATAATCGTTTATAGACAATTAAAAAAAAAAAAAAAAAACATACACATATATACACAATACGGGAGTTATAAAATATTTTAAACGTATAGCACATTCATTACCATTGACCGTTCATTATTTAAATACCAACAACGTTCATTTATAATAATAGTGTCGCTGAGTACTTCTTCGACGAGGCATGTCGTTTATAGTCGTACAGTAACAGTAACATAAATAACAGTGTAACATACAGTTAGTGGAAAATTTATTTTTTTTTTTAAATATCTTCTCATCAATATGTGAGAATTATTAAACATTTGAGTCTCATAAGAAAAGCTCATTTGTATTCGATTGATTAAACGATATTGTTACATGTCGTAGTATATTATACCAAACGACACACATTGATTTGGTCTCTGCAACCAGCCGTATAGTCGTACGGATATCAGTATGCGTTTAACAATAATAATAATACAATCACGGACGCTCGGAGAAATGTAGCTAAGGGTATCTCACTATATTTTATAATAATCATATAATAATAATGTAAAAATCAAGACTAAATTAAGTTAGTAGGTATAACATTTCACTATTCGTTCAAATATTTATAAGAAAAGAACTGTATTTGATCAAATACACCCGATATATGTGAGGACCGGCTTTATGTAAAAAAACTTCTCATTTAGTTACTGACATAAAAAATCTCGATGGAGGCAATGACTCCCACTACCACCCTCACTCCGGACGCCCCTCGATACGGTTATAGTTAATACATACATATTATAATATAAAGGAGTATACGCATATTTTAGGTAGCCAAATTAACTTACTTAAAAATCGATGTTTAAATCATGGGTTTCATGTATTTAATTTTTATTGAAGACCCGTTCAGTATTTGAACTCGTGTCTACCATAACCAACGATAAGTACGCTATACGTGTCACGAGCGACAACTAACGGTTTCGTTATTGTAACCGTCATTGTCGGAAAACAAAATAATTATATACATTACGGGCTGATCAATTAGCAACACGATGCGAATGCCTAGTCTTAATAAACTGATCGAAGAGAATCAATAAGTCAAACAAGGCTAATTTATTAATATGCTGAAACACGATGCAAATTTACAATGTGTTTAACTTACTGGGTTTAAATTAGTCTGATTAAAATAGCTTTATGTAGATGATTTTAATTTTTTTACAGTACATACGCTCCGTAAAACAATCGATATATAATTTCAAGGAACATGTTATCCAATAATAACAATAATCAGGGCCGTACCGAAGATGAAAATCAAGGGGAGGGGTAAATAATATAAAAAATGCCGACTATAATTTTTTTACTCAATGTATGTAGAATAATTAATTATATGTAGTCGTATTTTTACTTTTTAACAAGTATATATGTGTCAGTGTCACACGTTCTTTAAATTGACAGTTTAATTATATATACCGTGTGTTCACCAGTTTAGGGAACACTAAATTTCTCAGTCAGATTATGTTGGAATAAATCGATTTTTTTTTTCAAGTTAGTGGTATATAAATACACATTTTCAGATAAACTTCAAATTTTTAACCCTTTTGGTACGCGCATGTGCAATTCAACCTTTTTTTTATAGTAACCGATATTTTTGATACCAAATTCGAATAGACTGAATTTTTTTAAGTTATTTTGACCAATTAACCATGACTCTAAAACCAAAATTGACTGAATGAGAGCCATTTCAATTTTAATAAATATCACATTTTTACAATTCATTATAAAATGCATAAAACCATTTATAATTATTTATTATTGGTTACTTTTTGAATATGATTACGTATTTTTTTTTTTTATACGTTTTATAAACAAGATTAACATAATATGGATATACAATTATTTAATTACATTTATTACATGGTTTTATGTATTTCAACCGGTTTAAATACCGGTTGCTATTAAAAAAAAAAAATAAGTTGCATTGCACATGCACGTACCGAGAGGGTTAAAAATTTGAAATTCACCTGAACATGGGTATTTATATACTACTAGCTTGTAAAAAAAATTAGATTTTTTTCAACATAATCCGGCCGAAAAATTCAGTGTTCCCTAAATTGGTGAACACACAGTATATAATAATATTTTATATTGTATAATAAGTAGTTATATAAATTTTATTCTTGTATACACTGTATTACGAAATATGTAATATTTATTTTCCGTAAGTAAAATTAGGTCCTTCTAGACTATAATGAAACAAGTCTGACTGCCGACTGGTGTTTTCGTTGGGGGATGAGACACCCTCCCTCCAGATTCCCCTTCGGGACGGCCCTGAGAATAATAGTATTAATCAACAATAATATTCTATTGCGGCATTCGTTTTCGATTATTATACACTGCAATGCAATGCTAAATATATATGTGCATAGCAGCAGCAAGAACATTTGTAAATTATGTTAACGTTCCACTTACATTCCCAACACTGACCACTGAGTTAATATATATTCATGGTTAATGTTTTTATTAATTCATTATCATATTATATTATAAGTAATGACATTAAGGAGACATTTTTTTAAATCGTTTAATAACCGAAAAAGTTTTAATGTTATTTATTTTTTTATGATAAAAAAAAATATCAAAAATAAATATAAGATAGTAATTAAAGACAAAATAAAATAAAAAACTTTAGTTCAAATAATTAATTTGTATTCTATAGGACTTAGGTTGAACTAAGACACATTGTCCGAGACATTCTGAACGAAAAAAACGCAAAAGCCGTCTTACACATACCTAAACTTACAGTACGACAAAGCGCTGTACATTAATCAAATCAAATTTCATAATAATTGTGTAAACGGATTACAAGAGCCGCCTAGTTAAGCTAGGTGTTTACGTACTACAACGAAAATAAAGGTTTCTCAATAAACGACCTTAGGAATAATATTTAAAACTTCACGTGGAACGAATAATGTAATTTATTTAAAAATGCAATGTTTTCTAAAAAAAATTGTTACGTACGTGTATCAATATAATTTCCGGTGCTACCAGTTAGATTCAATTCATTTAAAATGCAATCGTGTAAGCAAAACGTATTTTTGTACAACACAAAATTATAAATTTTGTAATCGCCTAATATTAAATCTTATGCCTAGAAACGTTGTTTTTACGTTTTGACGTTAACATTGACTATGTAATTATTACTGTCACTTATCGTTTGATATAAAATAGTTCCCTAACTTCATAACGATTACAGCGAGTAGCTCATTAGAGTACAAAATAATTAATCGCATGTAAACACTACATCTAGTACAATTTATATAGATCGACAGTACTTAATAGACCTGTAAGTGTGACAAACAGGATGTCTACGACATTATGTAGTTATTATAGACGTGAAGCGTCGGCTATATTTGACTTTCCGATAAGTAACGTCATTTCGAACTGTACCTAATTAATCTGCGTACTTAACTCGAATATTGCAACTGATAATGGGGCCGGAATCATTTACATTTATAGCACAATAAACGCATAAAATAAGGATTACATAAGTAATAAAAACCTTAATCAAATGTTCACATTGTATAATATCAGAAACTTAACAGTTTTACGTCAGTATGTTATTTTTTTGCCAATAAATATACGCATTATTGAAGATATTGAAATACCTACTATAAGATCTATTTGTGAAATTCACTTTGCTATATATATGTAGTATTGCATGAAAAGTATATCGTTTTGCACCATATTTTAATCACTAAAAATAATAATATAAAAAAAAAATTAAAAAAATAAGGATCTAGAAAAAATGATGATTATACAATAATTCTGAAATATAAATTGTTAAAAAAGTAAGTTGTAAGTAAGTGAAAACATTTTTGTTTTTCTTTAGCGATCCGAGAATTTATAAAATGAAAAGGAAAACAATCCCCGATACGTATTGACGCTTAAGCGTAAGTTTTTTTTCAGTTAGTACACTTTAAAAGATGTCATACGATCAAGAGTGATTATTTTTTTCTTTGAAATAATCCATTACACATATATTTAGTTTTTTTTGATAACTTGATTATTTAATAACATAACATACTTACACACTGAAATGATAATTTACCCAAGCATCGAATAGTAAACAGAAGTGGTATTTTTGTAAATTAATTACGGTTTTTTAATTGATTTATTCCAATATGGTTAAGAACTAGTTGGATTCTTAATGTGTGTGTCACTATTTACATTTGATTTTTATTTATACATAATAGTATTATACTAGCTAAATGATAAATCATATATATTTATAATATATATTTGCACCCTCACTGGCAGGTATACAGGGAGGGTTTGTGGAATCACTTTTTCTTGATAAAATAAAAAATGAATAGTTGTGTAATTAGCTTATATCAATCATCTATGAACCCACCAAAAACTACTATGTGAACCCCTACGAAATTTGTTTTGGTGTACGTGCTTGCACCCACATCATATAAATATACAATAATATCTATATATTTTTAAAATATAAAAATATAAAAATGAATAAACTTTTGTCCTCTACTCATTGACTATATGACTGGACCATTTTCGCAATCCAGAACTTGTTGAATGTATCATTAAATTCTTTAGACTCTGAGATATACATTGTTACTACTTATTTTTTCATCCCTTATATATATATATATATATAAATTTTTGTTATGGATTAGTTCATAGGTACATACATGCAATTAATTTAGTTTTGGCTCATAAATATTGAGTTTTTTTTTATTACTAAAATGGTTGCATTATGCATTGTGGGCTACAGATTATATTTACTATTATCATTGATTATGAATACCCCATATTTTTTTAGTATGTATAATATATGAGTAGATAATACATGATTATGGCTCACAAATTATATTTTTACATATCCATATAAAATGAAAAGCTAATTTTATAATAAAATCAAATACTTATGAGCACACATGTCATAATTACAATGATTACTTTTATAATCATCTCATAAATATCATACATCATGTCTGTACCTATACTTATATTTATATATAATATATATTGTTGCAATCATTGATCAAGTAATAAAATAGTAAATATTATAATTTTATAAAAAATTTTAGATCAGTATTTTATACTTGAAATATTCTAAACATTTGTGTATAAAACCTGTGCAGTTTATATTTTATAAGAGGCATGATCAAAAGTAAGTATTAAATTAATTAAAAAAGAAAATTGTATATTTGAAACATTCATAATGACATACCTACATAATTTTAGATCAGTGTCCTTTGTAATTGCAATTTAAGACGTAACATTTTTTCAGAAATCTCTAATTTTAATAAAAGTCCACATTCAATTCTTAAACAAAGCACATTTAAAAAATCATTCGTGAAGGATAACACTTCTACTGATTTTATGATATGCAAAGACCTTCATGTGAAATTTGATTGCTTAGATATATTGTGTAGACGCAGTGTCGTATTCAGATAATTTGCGGTACAGGGTTATTTTTATATAGCTGCATACTGAACCATTGGGGCGATTTTTTATTTTTTATTTTTTTTTAATAATTCTGTTAGTAACAATCATATTACCTATACGAATACTGAACAGTGTAAAAATGCTTTACAAAAATTAATACAAATACATTGCGTACAAAGCGATAATTGACAAAGTAATTTGACCAATAATCAATGTACAATATAGATAAGAACCCCGCGTGATTTTACGTGATAAGGATGACGCTCTTCGAAAGGCGATAGAATATTGAAACTGCTGCAGTAAAACGGTGCCATAACGAAACACGTTACGTGGTATCATATCACTACGCGCACAACGGTTATCGTATTGTTCTTAAAATAGAAGTATAGATCGCCGCGATATTAATGTATTATTTTTGGACAAAAACAGACGATAACGAAACTTTAACCAATTATAATATTGGATGTGTTCATCGTAACCGTGGTTTAATCGTGATTTAATACGTCTATTATATGTAACCAAAAATGGCTAAAAGTCATTCCATATTCCTTGTTGTCTTCTGTAAAATTAATGTGCAATGCACATCGTCTTCGTGATTTGTATTTCCTAAGTTGCGTTTCACGTATATTAAGTAAAGTAAAAATTATAGTTGATATTTTTTTGTAGTACCGTTCATATGACGCTGTATTTACTCGAGTTTATACAATCTACAACGTCTATACTGAGTTTAACGTTACTTGTCTGTTCAAACTGCTGCCTAATAATATAATCGCCTGTCATATTGGCTAATGAACTTCGAAAAGTTCGCCTACTATCAACGAAAAACGATTACAGGTAATAATGTATTCATTTTACCTAAAAATAAACTATTATTACTATTTATTATTTATTAATCTATAATCTAGTATAATATTGTACGGTATACCTTACATTTCTTTAGAAGCAAAAAAGTAAATTGAATTTTCTAAACTTTATTTTGTGTGTGTTTTTATTACACTCTGTCTAAGATATTTAAGTTTCAACCATAGTGTTTTATAATAAAGTTATTAATAATTAATTTTTAAAACTAGATTAGTCGTAATCATTTAATAAGAACAACAATTATTGTTACAATATTTCTCATCCAAGAAATGAGTTTGACATGTTATGTTTTACCAATAAGTTTTCAGTTCAGTCTAGTACCAGTACTATCTTAACAACAACTTTTATACCAAATGAACCGTCAAAAACATTGAAAAAAATGCAAATTAGCCAAAAAAGTTTTGCATTCCTGTATTTTTGATTTCAAAGTTTTTAGTTTATTAGAAGCTATTGGTTATCAACATTGTAAGCTATCAGGTAACTGCGCTAGGAACTAATTTGAATTCTATTTGATAAATTCTATTTATTATATTACAAAAGTAGTAAAACTCATAAAATAATATTTAATAAGTAAAGTCAAATATAAATTATGTTAAAGAAGATGATTCATCCTTTATTGAAGATCAACTGGCACCTAATCGTCAGCCAAATTTAAATAGTAATTTTGAAGACAACCATTTATCATGTTTTCCATTAAAAAATAAAAGTGAACTATTAGCAATGGAATCAACATTACAAAATGAAGAGTTAAATTACACAAACAAATTGGTATGTTGTATTTTTTTTTATAATTCTGGAATAACTGTATATAATTTATAGATTTTATTTTACGCAGGTATCAACATTGAGTTTTATCTCTGAAGGAAAACATATTTCCAAAGTTACTTATTGTATTAAAAATTATATTTTATAATGAGCTCTTCAAGTATTACAGCTGGAAAGGTCAAAAAAATAAAAAATCATTTTTAAAATTTAAAATTTGTAATCATTATAGGTAGGTATCTTTTTATTTTTTCATTTCATGATATTATTATGTCAATAATTTGTACAGGATATTGTTTATATATTTTTTTTTTTTTTTAGGGTTTTCCAGCCTTTAAGACTATCCTGTATAGCAAATTTCCCTCCATCTCCCTCTGTCTTCCACTCCTTATTTTTAGTTTGTTCCTGGATCTACTTATTTTACTTCTCTTTTCACACAGTCTACTAATCTTAGGCATAGTGGTCTTTTTCTTTCCAGTTTCTCTTTAATTATTGTATTTATCATTGAGTTTATCATTGATAAACTGATTATGAAATAGTTTTTAATTAATTGTTATTATTTTAGGGTACTCTTAGTCAAAAATGTCCAGAAAAAAAAGATTGCAGAAATTATATCATCAATAGTATTGTCATGGTTACCACAGGTACCAATAAGGATTACAAAGTAATAACTTAGTCTAATACATTATATATATCTATAATATATATAATTTTTAATAAATCTAAAATCTAAATATTGAAGAAACAATAATATAATATATCGTACATCCATATCAAAACAGTAACAACTCAAAAAGTTGGTTTTTTTAGTTAAACGTGTATTCGGATTCTATAAACAAAATTACATAAATCAAAAAACAGGTTTATCTTTATCTTTATTATTCTCCGTCAGATGGCAATATAAGTACATTTTATTGAATGAATGATACCAAGGTATTACCAACAAAACCGACATTCCTAAAAAAAGTTTTTTTTTGAGTTGTTACTGTTTTGATATAGGTGTGCAATATGACAATATAAATTAATATGTTTTTTACATTAAGTTGTTTATTAAAAAGGTTGTTATAATCATAAATTTATCTTAAGACTTTCTAAATAGGTCATTATTACACAAATTTAATCATTCCTAAATAATGAGATGATTAATACATTATTTTATAAATAAATTTTTTTTATTATTATGAAAAATAAAACAATGCAACTAATTGATTTTAAATGAGATACTTTTTTATGATATTACAAGCATAGATTATTATTTAAGTTTGTATGTGCATATATAAATATTAATTTGATGTTTTATAGAACTATTAAAAAAAAAAAAAAAATTGAATTTATTGTTAGTATAAATGATTAGGTGTAATAAACATTTGAGATTGCTAAAAAATCATGTACTCTACTTTTTATGTTTATTAATTATTATTTAGTACTTAAGGTATACTATATACTTATATATAGTTATATAACCAATATAGCAATATAAATTATAAAGTAATTTCATGTTTTAAGTATTAAAATTGTCTTCATTGTTCTGTTTACAGCAAAGAAAAATCAAAAAAGAGGAGAGAAACTGCAGATTATCATGGTCATTAGTCCGACAACGAAAACAATATAATTGCAGATGATAATAACACTTCCACATAAAATTATTTTATATTTCAATGTAACCCGTCATTGATATTGTGGTAAGCGCGCTGCTTACCTCATACGTATTTTGAAAACCACTTGTTTAGTTATTTCTTGATTTCTTTGATATTATTTTTACTTTTAATTGACACAATTTTAAATGTATTCTTGTTAATTTAATAATTTTATAAATAATTCTTGATATAATATGCAATATCATTAAGAGGAAGCACATCCCCATGTGTTGTCACCACCTGACATGCGTACAAAATGGCAAATTAGCGTTCAGTGATTCAAATGTAGTGAAGTTAGCTTTAATATTAGAGTAAACCGACCTATAGTCAAACTTTAAGAAAAGAACATTATCTGCGTTTTGTTGATCAGTTTTTTCTGATATTTTAATTTTTAATGCGTGTTATGAGTATGTAAAGTATAACATTTTAAAAAACATCATAACTTGATGAAAAATTAAAATGTCAGAAGAAACCGACCAATAAAACACAGATAATGCTCTTCCCTTAAAGTGTGATTATAGATCAGTTTATACTAATATTAAAGCTAACTTCACTACATTTGAAGCACTGAACGCAAATTTGCTATGTTGTACGTATGTCAGATGGAGGCAATACATGTGACGTCTTCTTAATGTCTATAAAGTGAGCATTGTGCCTTACTCCATAGGCAACATGGACCTAGATGAATAATAATATTTATTGTACTATTATATAATATTGCAATATATTATAACTGTGTATTTAAAATAAACATATCTAACAAAAAGAAAATATTTAAGTAAATATTATTTGAAAGATTGTATGAAAAAAAGGTTTTTTTTTTTAAATCATGTAGTTTTTAATTTTTATTGTTTGAAATATTTGTAATCAGAAAAAATGTTTTTAATTATATTTGTAAAATATTTAATAATAAATAATAAATACCAATGATGGGATGTTAAATAGCCATATCAACGACGGGTTAAGTAAAAAAAAAAGAATGGATATACCTTCAAGTAATTTTTTTTTTATATATTATTACTATAATTTATATTATATTTATAAAAATGTATATTGTATTATTATATATGTCACCGGCAATATGGATAATTCAGGTATTTTGCAAAATACCTAGGTATGCAAAATGCAAATTTTTTTTATGCAAAGTACTAAACATTTTATTATATGTTATATTACCATAAGATTCTTATAATAATTATATATTATTACTATTAAATAAATATTTTACTTAAACTACTATTTACTTATTATAAAATATTGTAGAAAAGTGACATTTTGAAGTGCATGAAATGTTATTTTTAAGGCAAATACACTTTATTTTGGTACTTGGAATTACAAACACATTTTAAAAATTCTTGGCCAATTGTTGTGGAATGAATTTTTATGTACTCATATTATTGATCAGATAAAAAACTAGTTTTAGTGGCCAAATTAAAAAAAAAAATGTATAGTTATAAAAATTTTTCTTATATAATAAATATAATTTTGTTTATTTTCATCATATTGCCTGTTTCACGTTTAGCATTATGCATAATACCTAGGCAAAGCTCATATTATGTATATTGCTGGGTGATTTTTGGCATTTTGCAAAATACTGGATTATCCTTATTGCCGTTAGCATATATGTATTATAACAATTTTATAATGAATTACCATACTTTTTTGTTATTATATTAACATTTATTTTTTTTTTAAACATTCATTATTATTAACTATTATAGATTCTTAAATTGGTATTAAAAAAAAGAAAAATGATATGATAAAAATATTGTTATGATACGTAAATTCATTGGATAAAAAACATATACAAAATGTTTAAAATGTGTTTTTTAACATATTTTAATTGAAAGGTTGGTCATTATAAAATTTAAGAAATATTTTTTTGTTTTTTAAGTAATAATGAATAGCTATAGTAAACGTAATAACAATTGTATTGTAATATATACTATTTTTAAGTTTATTTTTAAAAAACGTTTTATAATAAAATACTTTTTATTTTCAACGTTTATTAACTTGTAATTGTTTGATTATTTTAATTTTGAGTCTAAAATAAAGCTTTATTCTGAAATTATTTTGTGACTATTTGAGTATCTTAGAATTATTAAATTAATTTTAATACTTTGAACATACTTGCATTGTGTACATTTATAATTTTAAATAATTTTCAATGATTTTCATTTATTTAATAATTTTAAGAAAATCAAGATAAAAATAAACATAGTTCATAGAATTTTAAATTCTAGAATTTGCTAAATACTTTCTGATTTTTGATCTAACAAATACTTTTTTAATTTTAAATAACTTATGAGCAGGGTTGGGATTTTGATGCAAGTGCATTTGCTTTTTATATGTCCCAACACGTAGGTTCGTAAACATAAAATGTGTTTCAAGTGATACTGATTATTTTAATGTAGATTTTATTTTGCATTTTTTGATAAATTTAACTTAAAATGAATTTTTAGAGCATTTTTCAAGTTCTTAGAGTATTCTTCAGAATCTATCTATACATTTTTAAATATTAGTGTATTTTACTATGTTTTTTGGCGTTTGTTGGCTCAAAACTTACATGTTTATTAAGTAATCTATTAAATTGATAAACCGATAAATACGAGCATATCGGTCAATGTATCTACTTTATAAAAACAGCCAAGAAAAATTTTTCTGTTTACAAGAGTTCAACGATGATCATAACAGTAAGTTATGAAATAAATTAAATTTAAATAAAATGCAAATATGGCAATTGTAGGTAACAAATAAGTACTTATTTTATTATTATTATGTTAAATAAGTACAATTAAATATTTTTGGTAACATGATTTTAATAATATCATTTTTAAACTATAATTAACATAATTCTTAACGCATTTTTATATTCAATTTTTTTAGAGTTTTAAACTCCCAATATTTTGTCTTAAATTTTTAATAATTTATTATTAATAACTTATTAAATTAACTACTAATATATTATTAGTAATATATTTCATATGAAATGAATAGATTAATGTTAATTAATTCAGATAATAGTTCAATCTTCTGAATTATTATTTATTGGTTGGTGTTTCTGTAACAACCAATCAATATCTCGACTGTCATAAAATACACAAAAGTTAAAGTCTTTTGGACGAACTCCTTCGAAAACAGTAACTAAGCTCGGTTTCAAGTTATAAAAGAATAACAACTGTTGCCTCTGTGCGAAATCAATGACTAAAAATTCAATGACCTGGAATTAAAACGTTTTTCAACCATTAATAGTTATCGTATTTATTTAGATGAAAGACGAAAAAACCAAAATAAACTAGCTGAAAACTCTACTAGTATAAGACCTTGGCGGCAGTAAAATCTGCTCCATAAATATGCAAACAATCTATTACCACTGGTAAATTCCGTTTTAAACTGCGTTTAAGGATGATGTTTCTCACGTATTCGACTGATGGAAATATTAAACATCGATCTGGTGTCATCATGAGATAGTTAAGACCACTACGAGTCAACAATTATTATATGTTTATCTATTATGCGGATCGTAAAATATCGTTTAACACATAATTTTATGTATTTTGCTGAGTATAATTAATGGATGGGTAAACGATTATATCCAACTCACTTTATTTATTTTAATTGAAAGTTTAGGCGTTGCAGCATGATATAAAATTGATATCAAATTTAAACCGACGCCAATCAATATTCCTAATTCCATACGCAGAAATAAACAGGCGAAAAACGTTCCTAGACCGGGAATCCGGTCGCTTTCTGGATAATACAAAAAAATAAATAAAAAATTATTAGTAAAATAAAACTGATTATTAAATACATACTATTTCATCATACATTTAGTTGCTTTAAATTTATTTAAATTAAAATCTATTCCTAGTAAAATTGATATATTTTTATTACTTCAGATTACATGAAATTAGTTTTAGGTAATTCGAGTTAATTCTTTACTGTATTTGAAAAATCTTATAGACACAATTTTTTAAATGCCATGTAATAAATATATTTTGTTTACTATAGCTCTTTTTATAAATGGATTATATGATTAATATTAATCAACTATTCAACTTAATGAATACACGCTTTGTATTACTTTTATAATAAATTATGAAATATTTATGGAATCATTATTATATGAATATTATACGTTATACCATATTATTTGTCTATCGTCATTATATTAGCAATTATATTTATGGATCCTTTGATATCTTTAACCCGTTGTAATTATATCACCTAGTCAATGCATTTTAAATATTATTTTTTTTCCAGACGCAACTAGTTACTACATGATTGTAATTTTACTGTAAAGGTTTTTCTATTTATTACATAATTTTCAATTCAAATTTAACGTGTTTGATAAGTCATTAATAATCACGGTAAACCATAATACATGTTTATAGTTTCATTTTTTTAATTAGTTAAATTTTTTTTTTTAATAACTTTTGTTCATTCTAAGACTTAACATTTAATGTTGCATTTAAATTTGATAATTTTTTATTGCTAAATGTTTAACAATCACCGTTTATATACGAATTTTTGCGAAATTAAAAGATAATGAAAGCATCTTTTAAAAAAAAAAAAAATCAAAATAATTGTTACTTTTGGATCGGTATATTGGTTTGACCACACGAATTTCCACCGTGAATATAACTGCAGCAATAGTTATTGCCGCAAGAGTTGATTTTGGTACGTGATATAAGTACGGCGTACAGTACAATAGCGATATAATGACCAATATGCCTGCAAAACAAATGCATCGCGGTCGTGCGATGAGTGTACAACAAAGCGTTAGAAGTTTACAGTGATAAGTGGCGAATATTTGTTTTGTACGACGGTATTCTCACCGGCCATAAAAGTTTCCCATTCGTGTTCGTACGCCGCTAGCTGCGTTCAAGGCACTCCTAGAAAACGAACCCGACCCGGGGAATGCGTGGAAAAATGAATCGCCAACGTTGCACGAACCAATGGCCAATAACTCTTGGGTGGCGTCGACAGGTTTTTACCCAGAGCTAAAGAACAGAACCGGCAGGTGGTGCCGATCATGGTATTCGGTGAAATAGGCATACGGTTTCGGGCCGCGGTACGTTTACTAACAACGTTTTTTTGCAGTTCTTCAATGACCGCCAGCATTGGTAGCACTACGATGCCGGTGCCCAGTTCCGAGACCATTTCAACGAATCCAATTGTTGTGGCATTACCGTTGGTGATACTGAAACGCGGCGGACCGAATTCCGGTGAGCCCGATGGGATGTTGCCTGTCGGCCAGAGAATAAGGAATTCGGTCGGTGATCGATACACACAGCGGTTATAAGGGACCGACGGTTCGCCAGCACAGGGCTTTCACGTACCCACCACTTCGAACGGTACCGGTGCCATTTCGTCGGACGTCACGTCGTGGTCCGTCGCGTTTATGTAGATAAAGCCAACGTGAGTAGTAACCACGATGACTGTCGAGTTTTTCTGAGCGTGCCGATCAACCGCATTATTCGGTTTGTAATCCTTTGGAATTCGGTCGATTCACTATCGTCTTTGGGCCCGATGCGAACCAGGGCTAGTAGTATCTTTAATTGTTAATTTCGGACGAGTAGTAGTCGTAGCCACGTCAAATCGCAATAATATCTATCCGTATTATGTAGGTACGGTGCGCTCACTCTCGGTAAAAGGATCACAACGATACATATTACTGATCCGAGTACAGTGTTACCTATTCGAAAATTGTGCACGTACCTCGTAGATTGATGTTATCATGTCG